AAATCATCACGCATAATGTAATACTCTGTGGACCATAGACAAAAGTTTTTGTTTTTTTTTTGTTCTTTAGTTATTAATTTTTTAAGTCATTTAATTTTTAGGTATATGTATCATTTAGTTTAGATTTTTAGTACCTATTATTTTATTTTCTTCCTTTTTTGTATTTTTGTTTTATGTGTGTGCGCTTGAAAAAAAATGTTAAAAAATAAATGTTTTTCTTTCTTTCTCTTTCTTCTTCTTTCTATTTAGTGTTAATAAACAAAATAATAATTATATCAAAATTAACCACAAAATAACTAAAAAACACACTCTGAAAGATAATTCGAAGAGATTTATTTTTTAAATCAAACAAATATTTGTATTTTTAAGCTTATAATATGTATATAATTTAACTTAAATTACACGAACCGAACTGCCTTCGGTAGATTTCGGAATTTACAACCTGAACGAACATCGTGAAAAATAGATTTACAATATTATAAAACGGTTAATCAGGACACAGATATAAAATGAAAATTTTCAATATTTAAACAACTCAATATCACTTTAGTCGACGCACGTGATAAATAAACCTATTTACTTGACACACACAATCAAAATGTCTATAATTTCAAATCATACTGACACGCAATGATATTATATTGTAGCGACATCTATCGCACAACTACAACAACAGCACCAATCACGTACAAGATTCTACATCGCGCAAGTAAAGTTTACGCGCTAAATAGCACAAAATCCCAGGGGATCAAATCCCATCAAATGCCCACCAGGCACGAACACCTCGCCTGGTCGGAGAATCCTCCCTTTTCAATGGAGGATGAGGAACTTTCCACCCTGTTCCTCATACCTCTAAACTGGTGACGCTGTTGTTATGTTTGTGCGATAGATGTCGCTACAATATTAACACAGATATGTTATACGCTCACAAAACGCACGAAAAATGTGTTCCGCGCCAAGCGTGAGCACACTCACATACTTTTCATTAATTGTACATGTCACTACACATTAAAATTGTAGAAAAGGATAGCATGATAAATAAAACAAGAAAAAACGAAATAGCTATTGTTATCAATTACGTAGTCAACGTAAACAAACATTATTCTAAGAGAGACTAATTGCACTTGCATACAATTGTATCCTTTTCGAGTCTTCACTTTTGTGCGCTTATAACATATCTGTTAATATATAATATAATTGCTGACACATATGTTTTTGTAACCTTTAAATGTGAGCAACTAACATTTTTTGGACAAACACTGTCAGACAGACAGACAGACACATCCAATATTATATTACATAATACATCATGTTAATTATGTACAAACTTTATTTTTATTAGTTCCGACATTGAATAAGAGTCCCGGTGCGACTTGAAACTTGTCGAGCTTTTCTAGAACAATTCTTTTTGTGTTTAGTTCGTTTATCAAGGAAGGCTATAGGCTATAAAACATCACGCTACGATCTGTTGGAGCCGAGCCGCCATGGAAAGCGCGCGGCCATAGCTAGTATTTTTATATGTATAAGTATATTTACATAAAGAGTGACTGGTAATTTGTGACGAATATTTAAACACGTTATTGTACTCATGATTATAAACAACTTTCCCAAAGAAACTATTTTTCTATAAAATCAAAATCATTTATTCCAACTAAACCATAAATAGGTACTTTTGAAACGTCTAAATAGAGAAGTAGTCTGTCAGTCTGTTCGTCAGTGAAGCTAGGTGCTCATTCCAAATTGTAGATTTAAGAAGAACATTACTCCTTTTAAAAAAAAATTTCTTTTACAATTTCAATAATATAACATTTAGTATACATTATTGTACCCTTATGTGAGAACAATGCAGAGACAAGTTGTTAAAAAATAACAAATGATGGGATCTATCATTTTTAATATGGCGCTCACATATGCGTACTCACAATCTTTAAGAGTGCTTCTATATAAACTCTTTGGATATATAAATTAAGGATTCATTCATTTTGAGAATTTTAGTAACTAGGTACTGAATATATTTGAGTTTTGTCCAGTGGAGCCAAATCAACACGCTCCCAGGCATTCTTATCCTCAATAGTTAGTTATAAGTTTTATTTCTATTACTATAGAAAAATTACTGTGTTCAAAGTTCAAACGAGGTCACGCGCCTCGCCGCTAACAGCTGACCGGGCGACGCAATGCGGGCGCGCGAAGTTAGTTAAAGTGCTAATAAAAATAAAACTATTTAGTATAGAAAAAAGTTTATTTGGGAAAGTTATTTGCTATTATAAGTACTATCATGGGTTTAAAAATCTAATTATCAATCACTCTATATAAAATAACAAATTAATCCAAATCTATAATCCCAGAAAATCTACCATATTCTATATAATTCACAACATATTATATATTATCACTAATCTTGTATTAAAATTACATAATCAATTATACAAACAAAATACAACATATAAGAAAATATATGAACAATTGAAAAAATCAATTCGCCTCATTTTAATAATCTTTTTTAATACACTTCCTCATAGTGGCTCTAATCCCACAATTGGGTAGTTTCCTAGGTCAAAAATAAATTAATTCGACGTTTCAATACAATACAATATTGAAAAATAACTACACTTTTATTCATCGATCGATAGACACACCAAATTTTAGATATTTTTAAGAAATAAGTAAGCTATTTGACCTAAAAATACTATGGCGTCATAACTCAGTATGTCATACAAAATTCATAGAAAAGTATAGTTTTTGACATTTAGATAAAAGTATTGAATTTGACTAGTTGGAAGCTACCGTATTACTTCTCACACAGAGAAGGTTTGAGCATTAATCACCACGCTTACTCAAGGCGGATTGGCGATTTCAAACCCATATTTAGAAATTATAAGTCCAGGTTTCCTCACGATGTTTACCTTCACCGTATCAAGTGTCAGTGGTGTCAAAATAAAGTTATAATTATTCATATATTTTATTGTATGTTGTATATTGATTGAACGCAAACTTACATAAAAAAAACAATATTTTTTATTTAATATACCTAGCGTTTTATACCAATTTAAATTTATACAATACTAGCTTCAGCCCGCGTCTTCGCCCGCGTGGTATGTTGATAAAAAGCCTACGTATTAATCCAGGGCATCACCTATCAACATACCAAACTTCAACCAAATCAAATCGGTCCAGCCGTTTTCGCGTAAAATAACAAAGATATATATCCATACATTCTCACACACTTTCATATTTATAATATAATAGTAGGATGTTGAGACCCATTGCAATTTTTATTCTTTTTATAAATCAAAAATACACACTGAATCAATGACATATACGATCCAAACTTTCAAACCCAAAAACTAGAAAACTACTGTACTGATTTTAATGAAACTCTGTACTTACTCTTAAACATATCAAAGTCTTATTTTTTTTTATATTAAACTAGCTTTTGCCCACGACTTTGTTCGCGTGGAATAGTGACTCCCTGCAGATTTTTGGTTAAAAAACTATCCTATGTCCTCAATCGAGTTCGAAACTATGTCTTGTTATGTACCAAATTTCACACAATTAGGTTCAGTAGTTTAGGCGGGAAGAAAAGACAGACAGACAGACAGAGCTACTTTCGCATTTATAATATTACTTTGAATTTATTCGTAAAATTTTTGCCAAACTAGTCTGTTTTAATGGAGAGAGGCTCTCTCTTAAATTATAACTATGACTATGTATTTATGTATATTCTCGAAGAAGACCTTTGTGTGACATAGGCAATATTAAATTTCTATGTAAATTAAAAATCACGATATTTAACTGGATCGATTAAACAATATTTCGAAAATTATATTAATTAGTTTTATATACATTGATATTTTTGGGACAAGCCCGTCACAACCTCCCCAAACCGCTGCAACTCCTGTGCACCAGGATCTACAGCAGATACAACCATGAAAACACCGGAACACTGAAGTCCGGCGCGTCCCAGGGACATGAATGACTGTCTTGGATCCCGCAACGACGTAAACCAGAAGATATTATTTGAGGAAAGGAATTGTTTGTAGGACAAATCTACTACAACCTCCGAAAATCGCTGCAACTCATAAACAAGGATCTACAGTAGATACCACCATGAAAACACCGAAACACTGGAGTCGTCGAGCGATATATTACATACTAGCTTCCGCCCGCGGCTTCGCCCTCGTGGTATATTAATAATAGACTATGTCCTATTCCGGAGTGTATACTACGCCTGTGCCAAATTTCATACAGATCCGTCCAACTGTTTTGGCGTGATTGAGTAACAAACATATAAACATGGTAACTTTCGCATTTATAATATCAGTAAGAAGTATGATGTGTACCGAAGTTTCATTAAAATAAGTTGAGTATCTAGTTTCCTTATAATTTGTATAGTAAGAAAATCCGCAAGGCTTAAAGACTAAGGGCTGATTTTTCAATGGTTAGATAAAAGTTACCCGCGGAATAATTATAATACTGTCGCGTCACAATGTTTGTATAAGACAGTGACAGCAACAATTTTATTCCTCAGATAACATTTATCTGAATATTGAAAACAGCCCTTAATGATTTATTTTGAGATTTTTTCTATCCAATCAGTACACTTTTTTGTTAATAATACAATACAAATCCGAGATCATTTTTTTTTTAATATTTTAGTAAATTTATATTCGCTTTTATTTTTAATTAGGATGATGGCTGTATCAATAAGGCGGAGAAATTTTAAAATATTTGAAATCAATTAAAAAAATCTTAGTGTGGGAGAGCCATGCTTTGGCACGAATGGGTCGGCTCCGACCGGAGTGATACCACGGCCTCACAGAAAAAAGACGTGAAACCACCACAGCGTTGTGTTTCGCCGTGTGAGAGAACTTACCGGAGGCCCAATTCTTTCACTGATAGACAGCTACAATGTTTCTGAGTGCTATAGGCATATAAACATATAAACATCACGCTACGATCAGCGAACAATGCGTAAAACCGCGCGGCAGTAGCTAATCCTTATAAATGAGTTCAAATATTATTTTTAAATACTGCCATCATCCCTAATTATTAAAAATTATATAATTATACATTTTCGAAAATCACTTTCAATCATTGTTTGACATACAAATCTATTCAAAGCCCGATTTCAATAGTAATATTAATAATAGCAAACTTTTCAATAAATACTCCTAAATACAATTCCTATGGGGGTTCTTTAAAAAAACCCACAGAACCTAATCTATAACCCGATTTTTTTGCTGACCAAGACACTGTTACTACAATACGTTTCTCCAAAAAAAAAATGTCAATATGTCAAAATCGAAATGTCAAAGTCGACATCAATCACTTTGTCTCGCTGTCACTTTGACATTGACAATGACATCGACGTCGACGATGACAGTGACATTTACATTGACGTTGACATTAAAACCTAATTATTTTGACTTTCGAGAGGCCCGAAAATGACCTCACAATTAGGCCTTATAGCTTTAAAAATCTCGACCCCGCTCGCCGTGACGCCTGTGTCTGTAAAATCTATATGTAACAAATGCGGTGCCGCTGTGGCTAAATGTTCTAAGCTTCTGTTGGTGATATGCCTATATCCGGTCGCTGATAATATCCTTAAATTAGCCCTATCAGGTCTATGGTCGAAGGTTTGATTCTCGTCCGGGTTGCCCCTAGACCGGCCTATGTGAACGTAATTCACATTTTCGTTCTCCGCTCTTCCGAATCGTAATATAGCGGTGTCGGATACTAGGTGATAGCCGACATGGTTGCTTATATTAAAAGGAGAGTCTGCATTGAAGATTAAGTCTCTGGATAGTGGGCGGTCGTGGGCGTTGGGTGGGGCGGCCCTGTTTTCAGGGGGCGATTGACCGTATAAGTTGACGTACCGCAGTCTAACGGGCGGGGAAACTTCTTCATTGTTATTGACATGGTTTTCTTCGTTATCCGGTTGCATGCGGGGCCTTTTACCTTCGTTGGGCTCATCTGGTTGGGCGCGACGTTTCGATGGACCCGCCTCTGGTTGAGGTGAGGGGCCCGGTTGAGGCGAGGGGCCCGGTTGAGCGGGGCCCGGTTGAGGCTGTTGCCTGGGTTCCGCTGGTATAGGTATTTGCACCATTCCGGGTCCCGGTTGAGGCTCGTCTTGTCGTTCGCGCGGGTTCGCGTACTGTCCGTTGATTATTCGCGCCGTATTAGGTTGAATTACTATGACGCTGTTAGGAAAAAAACATATTTAAACAAACCACTTAATTAACGTAATTAAGGTAAACATCTATACCCCTTTCATGTATCTATTCACCCCTGAAATTCTATTTACCCCGTTTTACCATAGAACTTATTTAGAAAGGCCCATTCTTCCCCTCTCATATCCCTACCCAATCCTTAAATATCCGAAACCCTAATCCTCAAAATGCCGGCAACTCACTCGTAACTCCTTTAGAGTTGCAGGTGCCTATGGGCGGCGCCGATTGCTTACCATCAGGTAAACCGTCAGATCGTTTAAAAAATCGAAATTTTTGAGATAGTGTGAGAAATAAAGAGCACTTCAGTTTGCCGTGTGATTGAAGATACCAAAGGCCCAAACCTTACCTCCCACCCCCAAACCCTAATCCCCAATCCCCAACTCGTCTGGTGTTGCGGATATCCTTGGGAGGCCACCGCCCGCCCCCAATCCCTAATCCCCAATCTCCAAAATGCCTAATTCCCAACTCGTCTGGTGTCGCGGGGGTGTCCTTCGTCGGCGACTACATAAATCAGGTCATTTCGCTATTCTTTAACCAACCTATACCATTAAGAACAAATTAATTGAACTCATTCTGAAATTCTGAAATCTTTTTTCTGAGAAAACTTAAAGGAACTAAGAAAAAAAGATAGTAAGTTCCTTTAGAAACTAGAACTTTAGAATTTATAAAGGCAGAAAGAATCTTTCTATCTTTCTTTCAAAGAATCTTTCTTTCTTTATAAGTTCCTTTGAGTTTGAGAAAAGAAAGATGTTTTTTTTCTTTCTTTCTATTTGAATAATGTACTCACCGTCTCTCGTTGGACCACATCGGGTTTTCGCGTAAAAGGTCACTGGGGCGCTCCGTGGCATCACACGAGTCATCCTCATCAGCCTCCGCAGCCGATGGAGACTTCGCCCTGTAGTACTCCGGCTCCTAAAACAAGATAAGACCTTCGTGAAAAAAGCGCTCATGAAACCTGCAGTGTGATTCTGTAAGACTTCATTCTAAACTTCGAATCTGAATCCGCCGTGAGTAGTACACTAGCGCTACACTTGCGAGTTGAACTAAATTGACCGCAACATTTTGATAGATAAAGTATGAGATGACGTTAAAAGTGGCATTCTATAATTTTATTTCCCCGTCACTTCGACGCTCACTTTACACTCGAACACGATTCAAAATCAAACAAATTTTATAGAATCGACGTGCTGGCCGAATATGTGTCCGAGTTATATGTACTTTCTATGATTTTTTAGACACCACTGACATACGGTGAAGGTAAACATCGTGAGGAAACCTGGACTTATAATTTCTAATTATAAGTTTGAAATCGCCAATCCGCCTTGAGCAAGCGTGGGGTTAATGCTCAAACCTTCTCCGTGTGAGAAGAGGGCTTTGCTCAGCAGTGGGCACTTCTATTCGATCCTCGCGTCGTATCCGGCCGCTATAGCCTCGTGACATGGATCGATCGACATCATGGATAGCAGGATATTATTTTGAAAGAGGACCCGATTATGGTGTTCGAATAAAACAGCTTTTGCCATAAGACCAATATGGCTAATATCAACAAAATGTTTACTCTCCATGCAAAATTATCCATCAGCTGTTAGCTGATACCTGATGGTAAGCAATCAGCGCCGCCCATGGACACCCGCATTGACAGAGGAATTACGAGTGTGTGCCGGCCTTTGAGGATAAGGGATTTGGAGGAGTTTTTTTTTGTGAGGAGAAAATCATCAAATGACTTCTCCCGCCCAGGGCCGGGCAGGAGAGAGTGTCAGACTCTTACTGACTAGAAACCCCCCTGTTCCTTCTCCTGCTCTGGGCCGAGGTCGCGGTGCCCAATTGCGCTTACCACGCATGAGGAGTTTAGGGAGGGATTGGGAGAGGGGAAGGATTGGGCCTCTGACTTGGGACCCATTCGTGCCGAAGCATGGCTCTCTCGCCCCACCCAGGGCTGGAGAAGCCATGTTATATCTTTCATCCTAGGGAAAAGAAACCCATAAAAAAAAACTTACATCAATTTCCCAATCTTCAAGTTCGGGGAACTCAGTCTTCGTGTCTTTCCAGGAGTGGGTATGTTCTGATAGCGTGTTCAGCACGTCTGGTGGGGAACAGTACAGCTCCTGAAGCTCTGGCAACCAACCCAGCGATGATATCTCCGAATCTGCTAGAGGGGAGCCGCGGGAGTCGAATACCTGGATCAAAATAAATAATCATCATTTCGAGCTAAAATATCGACGACTTAATAGAGAATTTAGAATAAATGCCAGGCTTGTCATAATCCCCACGCAGGTCATAATCCCAACGGTGGTCATAATCCCAACGGTGGTCATAATAACCACATTGGTCATAATCCCAAGGCTGGTCATAAACATAACGCGGCCTTATTATCACCATGCCAGTCACAATCCCCATGCTGATCTAAATGTTTTAATCACCACGCTGAATGCACTCTCTAGACTTAATCCCCACGCTAGTCAAAAGTCAAAAGTCAAAAGTCAAAAATCATTTATTTCAATTAGACCACAGTAGGCACTTTTGAACGTCAAGCAAGCAAAAGAGGAAAAAAGTATATATAACAAGAGCTTTAAAATTAAGCGTGTCAGTCTGTCCGTCTGTCCTCTAGTGAAGCTATTTGCTCGTTCCAAAGTGTAGATTCCTATGGAGAAGAACGAGCAAGAAACTCCATGGTTACTCTTTTTCAATCAGTTTTACAATACATTTCTTTGTTACATCATTTAGTCGGTTCTGATATGTGAGAACAATGTAACACTAATGTTCAGGCAAAAAGTACGAAAAAGAAGTGAACCTCAAGGACAACATATTTAGACAGCCTGGAGATGACCAGTCCCAATAGGCGGCGCCCGTTCACGAACATGACACGTACACCAGCACCGCCCAACTCAACCATATTATAGGGAATTGGACGATCCAGTGCCCGTGCCACCGCCAATGAGACCTCTGAGTGAGCATGACAGCTCCCAGCCGACACAAGTACCTATATTCTACAAGTCTTACTTAATTATAATAGGTTACAGGGCACTCACATTTACAAAATCTTAGAAGTTCATCAACAATTAACAACATAGTGTACAATTGAATAATTAAAATAAAAAAAAAAATACTCTAAACATCCTGTGGAGTAGGACCAGCTAGCCTCCAAGCATTTTTATCTTGTATATAATCATTTAGTTTGTAGTATGCTAGTTTACATAAATGTTTCTTTATACATAATTTAAATTTGCTTTCATTTAAATTTTGAATTTCAACTGGGATTTTATTATAACATTTAACACAGAAACCCAGGAATGACTTATGCACTTTTGCCAATCTAAATAAAGGCTGACTCAATCTATTCCTATGTCTAGTATGATAATCATGTTTGTCAGATACCTTTACAAATAAGTGTAGGTTTTTCCTAACATACATAATGTTTTCATAAATAAATTGACTCGGTACGGTCAGAATGTTGATCTCTTTAAACTTTTCTCTGAGAGATTCGCGACGACCTAAGTTATATATAGCTCTGACGGCACGCTTTTGCAAGATAAAGATAGACTCAACGTCAGATTCCTGCCAGTCTTAATCACAACGCCAGTCTTAATACCTGCGATGTTCTTTATCGCCGCATCGGTGACAATCTCTTTTCTGGTAATTATCCCCTCGATGGAAATAATCCCCATGAGGCTCGTAATCACCCCGCTAGTCCTAATCCCCACGGTGGTAATTATGACCTCTCCTACCTATAGACGATAAGTAGGTGTTTGTAAAATGTAATAACGAACAGGCCCTCCGCTAGGTGGACTGACGACATGGTCAGAGTCGCGGAGAGCTAATGGATGCAGGTGGCGAGTTGTGGTTCGATGTGAAGGATCTTCCGACTGATGATGATGATGATGATGATGACGATGATGACGATGATGATGATGATGATGATGATGATGATGATGATGATGATGATGATGACGCTGATGATGATGATGAAGATGATGACGATGAATAACGAACTCTATTCCCGACGTCAAACTATTTTTAAGGGTTGATTTTTTAATCGACTTCAAAAAAAGGAGAAGGTTCTCAATTCATCGGGATCTTTTCTTTTAATGGTTAGATAAAAGTTACCTGGGGAATAATAATGATGCTGTCGCGTCACAATGTTTGTATAAGACAGTGACAGCAACAATTTTATTCCTTACATAACATTTATCTGACTATTGAAAAATCAGGCCTAGCTCAAATAAATTATTTGACCTTTCAATCGAAGTAATTAGAGACATAATAGGTGCGCGAACGCCGGCATTCGCTTGGTGTTTGATGGATCAATTAGTCCAAAACAGTGTGGAAGAGCCATGCTTCGGCAAGAATGGGTCGACTCGACCAGAGTAACACCACGGCCTCACAGGAAACCGGCGTGAAACAACCACAGCGTTGTGTTTCGCCGTGTGAGTGAGGTTAGCAGATGCCCAATCCTTCCCCTTCCCGGACCCTACCCCAATCCCTAAATCTCCAAATCCCTAATCCCCAAATGGTCGGTAGCGCACTCGTAACTATTCCGTTGCGGGTGTCAATGGGCGGCGCTGATTGCTTACCATCAGGTAATCCGTCTGCTCGTTTGCCGACTTATTACATAAAAAAAAACTTACCCGTAACTTTCGGAATCCATATCTTGTTGATAGGGAAGCATACGCCACGCATTCTGTGAGTCTTTTACAGTCCCTCATGTATACTTCAGTCAGTTTGGGGAGCTTGCTAATCGTCATCAAGGAGGCGGGTTCGAACCAATCACATTCCGATACGTCTAAATACTGTGGAAAACAAAAAGTCGTAAATTTTTTTTTTTTTTACCAAAACGTTGCCCCACATTAGGATTTTCTCCTGTGTCGTAGGTGCGTTTACAAACATACAATTTCACATGCACATCACACCCAGACCCGGAACAACTTTCTGTGGATCACACAAAGAGTTGTTCAACAACAACTCTTTGTGTGACACGGTTGGCGCGATGGCTGGGCAACTGGCTGCCACGCAACGTGTCACGGGTTCGATTCCCGCACGGAATAACTCTTTGTGTGATCCACAAATTGTTGTTCCGGGTCTGGGTGTTATGTGCACGTGAAATTGTATGTTTGTAACCGCACCTACGAAACAGGAGAAAATCCTAGAGTGGGGCAAAGTTTTTTAAAAAATAGAAAAAAGAAAAAAATAGATACCACGGCCTCACAGAATACCGGGGTGAAACAACCATAGCGTTGTGTTTCGCCGTTTGAGTGAGGTTACCGGAGGCACAATCCTTCCCCGTCCCCTATCCCTACCCAATCCTTGGATATCACATCTTGGATTAACCGCAAAAAGCCGGCAACGCACTCGTTACTCCATGAATGAGGAACTTTCCACCCTGTTCCTCATACCTCTAAACTGGTGACCTCGATGTGATTGGTGCTTTTGTTTATGTAGTGCGCTAGATGTCGCTACAACTCCATACTCATGACTCCATAGGTGGCGCTGATTGCTTACCATCAGGTTATCCGTCTGCTTGTTTGCCGACTTATTCCATAAAAAATGTAGAGGAACAGGGTGGGTTTTAGTCAGTAAGAGTCTGACGTCTAACGTCGTAGCGTAAGGTTAAGGCGCCCGCTTTCGGAGAAACCTGGCAAGTAGCAACGTCACTTTTCCGAGTTATATGTACTTTCTGTGATTATTTAGACACCACTGACATACGGTGAAGGATGACATACGATCAAGGCCTCTTCTCACACGGAGAAGGACAGAGCATTGCACACCACGCTTGCTCAATGCGGTTTGGCGATTACAAACTTAGATTTAAAAATTATAAGTCCAAGTTTCCTCACGATGTTGACCTTCACCGTATGTCAGTGGTGTCTAAATAATCATAGAAAGTTCATATAACTCGGAAAAATGACACATTGGTACTTGCCAGATTTCGCACCCTCATGCATGAGAAGCGGTCGCTTTTACCTTCACGCCACCACGACATTTTCTGATTGCAGATAGGTTTCAATCAATCCGCTCGTTTGCCGGCCAATTACCTAACAAAAAACATCCATCATACCCTGAAAAAAAATTGGGATAATGGCAACGTCTGCACTCACCTCAAGGTCAGGAAGTATCTCATGGACTTTAGCCAGATAAGACACATTTAGAGGTAGATTATAACATCTTGATCCGCGCATCGATAATTTCTTGAGTTTCTTCGGGAACAGACGGATATTCGTCTGTAAGTACATAACATAGAATCACATTAGCTGACACCCGGTTTATGAAAGGCTTGTCAACGCTAAAATTAAGTAATCTCCTGTTAAATCTCTTGTCAAGTCATCTGATTGGTTGTTGATAATTCAGTCAACCAATCAGATGACTTGACAAGAGATTAAATTGATTTTAACATTGATCGGCCTTTCGTAAACCGGGTGTAAGTGTGGGAGAGCCATGCTCCGGCACGAAGGGAACGGCTTGACTGGAGTGATACCACGGCCTCACAGAAAACCGGTGTGAAACAACCACAGCGTTGTGTTTCGCCGTGTGAGTGAGGTTACTGGAAGCCCAATCCTTTCCCCTCCTCCATTCTTCAATACGGTAGTTTCCAACTAGTCAAATTCAATACTTTTATCCAAATGTCAAAAACGATACTTTTCTATGAAATTTGTATGAAAAACTGAGTTGTGACGTCATAGTATTTTTGCGTCAAATAGCTTACTTATTTCTTAAAAATTCGTTAATAAATATCTAAAATTAAGTGTATCGATCGGTCGATCGATGAATAAAAGTATAGTTATTTTTCAATATTTTATTGTATGTATTGAAACATCGAATTAATTTATTTTTGATCTAGGAAACTAGCCATTTCCCTAATACCCACAAAAGGCCGACATCGCACTTGTACTAACTCCGTTGGTACAACGAGTGTCTTTGGGCGGCGCTGATTGCTTACCATCAGGTAATCCGTTAGATAATATACTTATAAAAAAATTACGTATTGATCGCACGAAGGTTATGTCATGCTTATCCATACTAATATGATAAAGAGGTAAAATTTGTAAGTTTGTATGTAGGGGGTAATCCTTGGATCCGCTGGTCGGATAGCCAAAATTCTTTCGCTGGTAGATAGCTATAATATTCTTGAGTGCTATAGGCTATAAAAGATCAAGCTACGAAGAAATGGAGCCAAACAGCGGGTGAAACCGCGCGAGAGTAGCTAGTCATGCATAAAGAGGTGGGTTTCGAAACATGGCAAGTGCTAATGTGACTTTTTCCGAGTAATATACTTTCTATGATTATTTAGACACCAACTTTTTTTTTTTGAGGTGTACAATCATCGAATGTTTTCTCTGCCCTGCCCTAGGTGGGGCGTGTTAGACTCTTGCTAAACTAAACCCTTCCCGTTCCTTCCCTTGATTCAGGCCGAGGAATATTATTACGCTTGCCCCGCAAACCTGATCGCATTAATGATTTCAAAATTATAATTAGAAATTATAAGTCCAGGTTTCCTCACAATGTTTCCTTCACCGTATGTCAGTGGTGTCTAAATAATCATAGAAAGTACACATAGCTCGGAAAAAGACACATTAGTACTTGCCAGGTTTTGAACACTCACGCATGAGAAGCGGGCCTTAACCTACGGGCCAGAATACAACCAAAATAACAAAAACAACTCACCGTTCGATAATCCACATTACAATATTCCAAATAAAGCGTCGTCAGATTTTCACAAGTCTCCATCAGTTCCTTCATAATAGCAGCTGATAATGAGAACTGTGGACCCTTGCACTCCTTCGAAAGACCATCATCAAGGTCTTTTGGGAAGCCGTCGTCGTACGGTCTTTCTTCTTCAGGGTCTTCTTTGGAGCAGGACGGTTCTGCTTTGCGCTTCTTAGCTTGCCTTTGAGCTCTTCTTTCCACTTCTGCCTTATTCGGCCAGCGAGGCGGTACCACGAATCTAAGTTTTTATAATGAAAAATATTATGATATACATTTGGCTCGACCATAGTGATACCACGGCCTCAAAGAAGCAAGAAATACGTTGTGTTTCGCCGAGTTCCCAAACCTTCCCCTCTCTATCCTTCCCCACCATCGTTAGAGACCGGCAAGGCACTTGTAGTAACTCCTTTGGTATTACGAATGTCTATGCGCGGCGCCGATTGCTTACCATCAGGTAATCCGTCCACTCATTTTTTTTTTCGAAAAATTCCAGCATGGAACAACTCTTTGTGTGATCCACAAATTGTTGTTCCTAGTCTGGGTGTAATGTGTATGTGAAATTGTATGTTTGTAAACGCACACACGACACAGGCGTTAAAACAAATTCCCTTGTACTGTACAATTAATCTATAATACCCACAACCCCCATGCATTAGTAGCATTAGTAATCAAGTATCCAACATTATTAAATCTACGAAACTACCATCCTGCCCATCACGACTTAACTATAATTCTTTTAAGGGCAAATTTTTCAATAGTCAGGTACATGTTATCTAAAATTGTTGCTGTCACTGTCTAATACAAATATTCTGACGCGACAGCATCATAATTATTCCCCAGGTAACTTTTATCTAAATATTGAAAAATCTGCCCTAAAACATTTACAATTAATACAATCGACATATTCTTAACAAGTCCCACTTTCACAAACGCAACGTATTCATAATATCCTTACCATTCACATATTACGGACTTATCAAAAATTCAAATGTCAAAAGTCAAACCGTTTATTTCAAATAGATCACTTCAGGCACTTTTGAAGGTCAAACCAAAAAAAAATAAACATCAAAAAGTTGAACTTTGTGTGTCAGTCTATCGGCCTGTCTTGTAGTGAAGCTAAATCATATTTAGATGTCCGGAAAAAATGTTACGTTGGGTCAAGGTAAGAATTCGTCGATTGTACTATTTTGACATGAACACGAAATAGGTTTTGTTATTAAGAAAAACAAAATTATATTCTTTACGGTAAAGAGGTAACAAATGAAACATATGATAACATCATAGCCTTCATTTCTCACAGGCGTAAGCAGGGATACACCAGTCATAAGCCTTATTAATAAGGGAGCGAATCTATACTATAATATTATAAAAATAGGTAAAATTTCCAATTTATAAGTTCGTATGTAGAGGGTAATCTTTGGAACCGCTGGTCGGATTGCCAAAATTCTTTCACTGATAGCTACAATGTTCTTGGATGCTATAGGCTATAAAATATCACGCTGCGATTAAAGGGAACCGAGCAGCGCGAGAGTGGCTATAAAACATTCTAAGCCTTCAAGTCGTCTCTCTCCCATTCTGTTCTAGGTCATAAGCCCGAGGCTTAGAGATCAAATTATATAATTAACAAATTCATTTACAAAAATAACTGATATAAGGACGATTTATTTAATTCATCAACCCTAAGCGAACGCCGGCTCGCGCACTTATGTATGTCCCGAACGCTTGAAAGATACTAAGAATACCAAACTATTCAGTTCTCTAAAAAATCAATGCTTTTTTGAGAACTTTTTTTCTTTTTTTTTTCAACCAGAGACGACTTAGAAAACATTTTTACACGTCAAATGTATACAAAAAAAAACTGGACGATGACGGCATTTCTTATCAGACTAATTTGAGAAACTAAAATCAGAGGTCTTTTATAAAATATTTCCTCTGACCTACGTTAGGAGAGGTTTTGTTTTGTGAATTGGATTTAAGTGTGAAAAAGAGAAAATTTACAAATAGACAACTTAGGCACTTTTGATCGTCAAATAAAAAAATTAATATCTAAAAGTTCAACTTAACGTGTCGGTCTGTCAGTCTATGCTCTAGTGAAGCAATTTTTTTTTCTTGCAATAAACTAGTGCTTTACTGCGATCCCACCTGATGGTAAGCAGTGACGCAATCGTTGATGGTAAGGCGCAGTAACTAGTTTATTAAGAGCCTATTCACTCTAGCCTTGAAGACACCTAAATTATATTTGGACGGAAAGACTGCAGCGGGCAAACTATTCCAGTCCCTCGATGTACGCTATTTGCTCTGTCCAAAGTGTTCCTATGGAGAAGAACGAGCTAGAAACTCCATGGTTACTCTTTTTCAATCAGTTTCAGAATTTATTTTTGTCACATTATTTTGTCAGCTCTGTATGTAAAAGGACGTTAGTTAACATGAATCTCTGCCTATCCCAGTGAGCAGAAGGCGTGATGTTACGTTTACGACACTAGAATAGTTTCATTAATTACCTATCTACCATAATTTGGGTACTTGACTCAGTAATAAATGAATAAATCGTCTCAATCTATTCGTTGTGTGCGCGATGACAGCGCCCCTAGTGGCCGCAACTATTCAGGACTTGTCATCTGTCAAATCATGTCAACTAGATGATAAGATATTGATTTTTGACTAGTTTTTCAACGAAATTGAAAAAAAATAGTGTAAAAAGTGAGTTTGCATATTATACTTAGCGATTTTCTTCCTCGTGAAGAATATGGATATTATAATACGTACGGGATTTGAATTTTAATTGTCTTCACAGCAGCTATCCATTTTTGTCTTTGCTGTAATGTCACCTTTGACGTTGGAAACGAATAAAACTTGCACGAACTCTTTTTCCCATTGTTTTTACAATTTACGACACAGCATGTAAAAATTTGCGATATGACCCATATCGCAAATTTTTACGTTTTTACTTATAAATTATAAAGGAAGTTATGAAAATAAAGCAATTTGACACATGACAGCCCAGTATTAATTCACATTTCTGCCACGTCGTGCGCTACAATCGATTTGCCGTTCCCCACCACCCACTTCGCACATAGCGAATACTTAATAAATATTAATAATATTATAAAGTTGAAGAGTTTGTTCGTTTGAACGCGCTAATCTCCAGAACTGCTGGTTCGAATTGAACAATTTTTTTTGTGTTCGTTAGTCCATTTATCGAGGAAGGCTGTAGGATATTAAACATCACGCTATGATCTTTAGGAGCTAAGCAGCGAGTGAAACCGCGTAAAAATATTTATAAAGAGGTAGATTTTTAAATTTGTATGTAGGGTGTAATCTTTGGAACCGCTGGTCGGGTTACCAAAATGCTTTCACTGGTTGATAGCTACAATGTAACTATTATATTCATGTCAATTCATGTAATTTGTCGTCGTGTCGCGTCGTGTCGTGTCGTGCCGTGTCGCGTCGTGTCGCGTCGCGTCGTGTCGTGTCGTGTCGTGTCGTGTCGTGTCGCGTCGCGTCGCGTCGCGTCGCGTCGTGTCTCGTCATGTCGTGTCGTGTCGCGTCGCGCCGCGTCGCATCGCGTCGTGTCGTGTCGTGACCACCGTCAACACCGGTCTTCTTAGTATACCAACTCCGGACTTTACTTACTCCGACTTTTTAAGAAAACGAGCATCTAAGCAAGTTCAATGACCTGTAGATAGTAGTATGGAGGTTGCGTAAAAACTATGTTTTTTTTTTACTAATTGTCAAGTACCCAAACAAAAAGCGAACCGTGGAAACTGTTATCCAATACACATTAAATTAGTATTTATTTTTGGTAAAATTCTCTTTAATCATAAGTTTTTTTCTTTATGTTATAATTCGGCAAACGATCAGACGGATTACCTGATGGTAAACCATGGACACCCGCAACAGAGGAGTTACGAGCACGTTGCCGAGTTTTGGAGACTAGGAATTAAGAGATTTTGGGAAAGGGAACGGAGTGAGGTATGGCAAGGATTGGGCCTCCGCTAACCTCACTCACACGCTGTGGTTATTTCGCGCCGGTTTTCTGTGAGCCCGTGGTATCGCTCCGGTCGAGCCGAACCATTCATGCCGAAGCATGGCTCTCAAACACTTTTATACTATTTTTGACCTAGAAAACTACCTGATTGTGGTAATATTATTGATCGGGATATGTTTGATGTGGCGTGAGAGCCACAGAACTAGCCTTAACTTAACTTATCAAAGTAGTATGAAGAAAATCGGAAGTAAATTAAAAACTGTCAAAGAGGCGTCTAATCTCTCGCTTTAAGTTTACACGAATACAATCCAGTAATTTTTTATTCAGCCGGCTACTCGTTGAACCGCCGTATTCAAAACAGCCCTATTTTTGGTAAAGGCTAGCCGTAATGTTACACGGCGTATTATAAATCAGACATGCGACATCTATACTAATATTATAAAGAGGTAAAAATTTGTAGGTTTGTATGTAGGGTGTAATATTTGAAACCGGTGGTCGGATTGCCATAATTCTTTCACTGATGTATAGCTACAATGTTCCCGAGTGCTATAGGCTATAAAACATCACGCTACGATCAAATGGAGCCGAACAGCGGGTGAAATCGTGCGAGAATACATCCGATCTCTAACTGCCCCTATAAAATCAGGTACACAGATAATAAGTGTCCACAGTTCACGTATATAAACTTATATTAGAAACAGACTTACAACTGCAGCCTCTGGTACGATTGCTCAGCGAGATTGGCCAGAATTATATCTCTTCTTTATATTAGAAGCATGAAAATATAATAATATAATGTTATAATATATATGTGTATGTATAGGTATATATAAAAGTTATACTATAAGAAAGTAATAGGGATGATGGCATTTTTTTACTTGAAACTACAAATGAGGTTTTATTATATGTATAGACAGGTTGTCTACCAACATTTCGGCGCTTAAAAACGGCGACAATACTAGAACTACTTATACGCGTAAAGAATGAAACAGAAAATATGACAGTGTACGGCGGGATGCCTGTTGCTAGAGAGAGACAAATATATTTCAACAAAGAAACTAGTGTCTTAGTGTCCTCAACTCCCCAACGTCACGTGACTGACTTGACGTGACAAACTTCATGCACCGTCCGCCATTAGACGCAGCGTCGTCGAACAAAATAAAATAAAATTATGTTGTTTCGTAAAGTTACGCATGAAATTACACATGGGGTATAATTGGTACATTCTCTGTAAACACACGAGACCATGTTTTCTTTGTACTGCATAGGTTTTTATACACGATATAAATTTAAAATAAACGAACGTGGTGTTGCGCGACAGGTTGGTGCGTGACTGAGCGCAATGTGGCTAATTAGCCACATTTCATGTTGTCATTTTAGAGTGTAGACAACATATCTATAGTTTACCAAGATGTTTACAGTATGTGCCCGAATGTGTACTCAATTATATTTCAATGATATTAATTAACATTACAATAACTGGGTACTGGGTATGTATAAATGCTTTGTATTCTAATAATTTGAAGACAGCCAGGTTATACCCTTCGGGGAATTTTCGATTCGAAAAATTTCGCGCTTCGTAAGTACTTCAATGTCAAAATTAAAAACTATGTATATTCCTAAAACTGTCATCATCCTTATTAAATTACTAAAAATTGTTGGTAAGTAAAATATTACAAATAAAACTTATAATGTTAATGTTCGCATTTTTGCGAAGACTAGATGGCGCTGATGTAGTTTTAAGTCTTGTTAGTTATTTATCAAAAATTATATAACTTATTCGTATTATTATTCTTAAATACAATGTAAAATCACGCCTGCTACTCCGAAAAGGGGTAGGCAGAGTTCAATTTTAATTTATTTATTAGTTTTATTGTATATACATGCTAATCCCCCAAAAATCCCAAAAACCAATTATAATAGTTACTGTCATTCTATAAATTGCATTACCGAGCAAGAGTTTCAGGTCCAATTTGAGATCGGTCAAAATACTGTTAGGTGGCGTCCATAAATTACGTGAGTTGTTTTTTTCAGACCCTATCCACAACCTTTGGTGAGATGACGTGTTTTTTGTGAGGGGAAAATCATCAAATGACTTGTCCCGCCCAGGGCCGGGCGGGAGGGAGTGTCAGAATCTTACTGACTAAAAACCCCCCTGTTCCTTCTCCTGCTCTGGGCCGAGGTCGCGGTGCCTCATTGCGCTTATCCCGCAACCCCGGCTGAACATCAGCTCTATAGGGCCCCACCTGTGGTGGTCTATTGGCTCTTTGAGACGCGAGCGGAACGCTACGCGCCGTACGCTTGGGTCTGGTTCTGGTCGGGCGGCGAGCTGCCCTTACTCGCCGTCCGCAGACCCGCGCTTACGGTGACTGGTGAGATGTCGTGAGATTTTATTCCCCCCCATCACCCCATCTCACGTGAGATTTTTCACAAAATGTGGGTTTCTTACTAAACGCATGTACCATGTACAAACTAGATTAAATGACCAAAATTGTATTTTTTTTTTTTTTGCTTCATTCAGAAGAAAATATCCTGATATCTTCCGAAACCCTCCCCCCTCCCTCCAACGTAATATTAGATGAGATTCGACTCGACCGCCTCTCCCTCTTGATCATCTCACGTATTTTATAAACGCCCCCTTATGTTAATCGATTTTCGAAATACTCGGTTAAGGGTTTTCTGAAGCTAAGCTGGCGTCGAACGTACTCCTCAACCGAGGCCATGCAAATAAATACACCACAAAGCATTTTAAACCATAAATATCAATATAATAGGGCACCTTTTTTACATAAAAATATTATAAAGCTAAAGAGTTTGTTTGTTTGAACGCAGTAGTCTCCAGAACTACCGGTTCGAATGCGGTAATTTCCAACTAGTCAAGTTCAATACTTTTATACCAATGTCAAAAACCACACTTTTCTATGAAATTTGTAAGAAACGCTGAGTTACGACGTCATAGTATTTTTGCGTCAAATAGCTTACTTATTTCTTAATAATTAGCTATAAAATATCTAAAACTTAGTCTCGATCGATCGTTGAATAAGAGTATAGTTATTTTTCAATATTTAATTGTATTGAAACGTCGAATTAATTTATTTTTTGACCTAGGAAACTACCCAATGGAACCATTATTTTTGTGTTCATTAGACCATCAATTGGGGAAGGTTATAATAAGGCTATAAAACATCACGCTACGAGCAGCGAGTGAAACCGCGCAAGACTAGTCTAATAGTATAAAAGGCGCAGAAGGCGTTGACAGAAACGACCTTTCGAATACCAAATACCAACTAACCGATTTACTTTACTAATACAGGTATTATTCAAGGGAATCGAACCCGATTACCCTTGCTCGGTATCACACTTGCGACTACAAGACCAACAAGATTTGTTAAATAAAAAAAAATCGGGCATGCTGCTTATGATTATAGATCCCGGTTATAGCTCGAAAGTAGTCGAGCATTCATAAAATTACGCTAAATCAAGAGAAAAAGCTTAGTTTTCAAATATAAGTTGAAAAAAGACTTACCTAGGAAGATGAGGGTACCACATGCGAAGCAGAAAATGCTCCACGTCAATACCGGCTGAAAATCAAAGTCAAAATCAAAAGTCAACAACGCTTTTTGACTAAACACGATTCACAATGTATACTATTTATAGTATTAACTATAACTATTTTTTTTTTATTATAACTTTCGTGAGACATTGTAAATTAATTATTATGTTTTCGGCTTACTCACGTAATAATTTGATTAGATACTCGACTAGTTTCGAGCCATGATAGAGGCCCATATTCATAGCCCAGCAGCAGCGCGACAGTCACCGCGTCGCGTGTCGCGGAATGCTGCTCATGAATATGGGCCTCTAGCATGGCTTGAAACTAGTCGAGTATGATCGTCAAATTATTACGTGAGTAAGCCGAAAACATAATAAACGAAATTATTTATTAATTTATCTATACTAATATTATAAATAAGTAAAATTCGTAAGTTTGTAAGTTTGTATGTAGGGTGTAATCTCTGAAACCGCTGGTCGGATTGCTAAAATTCTTTCACTGATAGATAGCTACAATGTTCCTGAATGATATAGGCTATAAAACAGCTACGATCAAATAGAGCCGAGCAGCGGGTGAAATCGCGCGAGAGTAGCTAGTGGTTAGATAAATGTTATCTGAGGAATAAAATTGTTGCTGTCACTGTCTTATACAAACATTGTGACGCGACAGCATCATAATTATTCCCCAGGTAACTTTTATCTAACCATTGAAAAACCAGCCCTTAGAGGAATGGAATGAGTAAAGAAAAAAAGTTTCTTAGGGAAAGTTATTTGTTATAATGAGTACAATCGTGTGTTTAAATATCAGCCACTACTAACTAGCTTCCGCCCGCGGCTTCTCCCGCGTGGTATGTTGATAAAAAGTTCCCTATGTCCTATTCCGGAGTGTATCCTATGCCTGTGCCAATTTCATGCAGATCCGTCCAGCCGTTTTGGCGTGATTGAGTAACAAACATCCAAACATCGTAACTTTCGCATTTATAATATTAGAAAAAAAACTCACTTGACTCAGCTGGTACAGGCCATTGGAGATCTTGAATGCCGAGACATCTGATAACAATCAATGCATTTGCTGTATTTTATTTATTATATATAGCCATGGGTCGTGAAACAACTACAGCGTTGTGTTTCGTCGTGTGAGTGAAGGTAATGGAGGCCCAACGGCTGAACCAATTTCTTTGAGAATAGATGGGATGTAGTATAGAGCTAGAAGAACATAGGATAGGGAAGAGTAGGTAGGATAGGGAAGGTAGGGTAGGGTAGGGTAGGTAGAGTAGGGTAAGTAGGGTAGGGTAAGTAGGGTAGGGCAAGTAAGGTAAGAAGGGTAGGGTAGAATAGGCCGACTGCAGTAGACAGAATAGGGTAGGTAAGATAGGATAGGTCGACTAGAGTAGACAGAATAGGGTAGGTAAGATAGGATAGGTCGACTAGAGTAGACAGAATAGGGTAGGTAAGATAGGATAGGTCGACTAGAGTAGACAGAATAGGGCAGGTAAGATAGGATAGGTCGACTAGAGTAGACAGAATAGGGTAGGTAAGATAGGATAGGTCGACTAGAGTAGACAGAATAGGGCAGGTAAGATAGGATAGGTCGACTAGAGTAGACAGAATAGGGTAGGTAAGATAGGATAGGTCGACTAGAGTAGACAGAATAGGGTAGGTAAGATAGGATAGGTCGACTAGAGTAGACAGAATAGGGTAGGTAAGATAGGATAGGTCGACTAGAGTAGACAGAATAGGGCAGGTAAGATAGGATAGGTCGACTAGAGTAGACAGAATAGGGTAGGTAAGATAGGATAGGTCGACTAGAGTAGACAGAATAGGGTAGGTAAGATAGGATAGGTCGACTAGAGTAGACAGAATAGGGCAGGTAAGATAGGATAGGTCGACTAGAGTAGACAGAATAGGGTAGGTAAGATAGGATAGGTCGACTAGAGTAGACAGAATAGGGCAGGTAAGATAGGATAGGTCGACTAGAGTAGACAGAATAGGGTAGGTAAGATAGGATAGGTCGACTAGAGTAGACAGAATAGGGTAGGTAAGATAGGATAGGTCGACTAGAGTAGACTGAATAGGGCAGGTAAGATAGGATAGGTCGACTAGAGTAGACTGAATAGGGCAGGTAAGATAGGATAGGTCGACTAGAGTAGACAGAATAGGGTAGGTAAGATAGGATAGGTCGACTAGAGTAGACAGAATAGGGCAGGTAAGATAGGATACGTCGAGTAGAGTAGACAGAATAGGGTAGGTAAGATAGGATACGTCGACTAGAGTAGACAGAATAGGGTAGGTAAGATAGGATACGTCGACTAGAGTAGACAGAATAGGGTAGGTAAGATAGGACAGGTCGATTAGAGTAGACAGAATAGGGTAGGTAGGGTAGGACAGGTCGACTAGAGTAGACAGAATAGGGTAGGTAGGGTAGGATACGTCGAGTAGAGTAGACAGAATAGGGTAGGTAAGATAGGACAGGTCGATTAGAGTAGACAGAATAGGGTAGGTAGGGTAGGACAGGTAGAGTAGATTAGAGAGCATAGGGCAGTTAGGGTAGGGTTAGTAGAGTAGGGGTAAGTAGAGTAGGGTAGATAGTGTAGGATTGGTAGAATAGGGTAATTTAGGTAGTCAACAGACGGGAACAAGGCTGTGTGAAAAAGCTACTATTAACATACTAATATGACTTTTTCTCACCTGCTAAACTTATTGGCGTATCCAGCAATCTTGAGCTCAGTAGTGCTATGAGAGAGGCAATTGTTCAACATCCACCGGATCCTTTTCTTGCCCATCGGAGTCGTTCTCGCGTCGACGCGCTGCCAGAGCGAGCGATCGCAGACTAAAGCTCCGAGACGGGGGCACGTGCTGAAAAAGAATCGTATTATCAAGTAAACAAGCTGGAATATGTACGTTTTTTTTTGCCAATAGGCCGTTTTTTCTTGTGAGGAGAAAATCATCAAATGACTTCTGGGGGAGTGTCAGACTCTTACTGACTAAAACCGCCCCCGTTCCTTCTACTGCTCTGGGCCGAGACCGCGGTAACTTATTGCGCTTACCCCGCAACCCCGGCTGAATATCAGCCCTATAGGGCCCCGTCTGTAGTGGTCTATTGGCTAGAGGCGCGCGCGGAACGCTACACGCCTAAAGCTCGGGTGTAAATAGGTCGTAAAACAGCACTTTTAAAATTATATCTTTACCTATATAATAAAAGAAAATTGTGTTAGTTACACTATATGTATATAAGGCTGAGAATTGGTACTTGGTAGGGAGGTAGCTAAGAAACGGGAGAAGGACATAAGATAGGGTAATGTAGGGTAGGTAGGGTAGGTAAAGTAGAATAGTTAGTATAGGGTTGGTAACGTAGGGTAGTTTGTGTAGGGTAGGGTAGGTAAGGTAGGTAGTGTAGCGTGTGAAGTGTAGGTAGGTATCTAGGTTGAGTAGTGTAGGTAATCAAATGACGGGAGTAAAGCCGCCATTTCCTATCTGACTGCAATGAGTGTGAAAAAATGCCGATTCAAATTCAGAAATCAGTCTTATTTATCAATTTACTTACTGTCCGATTGCCTTCAGTGCCATGGGGTCACAGAACTTCAGGATGCAAAGCAGTGCATCATCAGACAAGTCCAGGAGATGCAGACTGCTGACGTAGCCATTCTCAATCACGGATGCTGCGGAGAAAAACAAAAACATGGATTATCATAATGGACCAAGAACGGTTTCATCATTCAATAGAGCCACTTTTTAGCCTAAATTGGGTCCTAGGTCAAAATTATAATATGTTTACCACCAAGTATACCGTCAACTCGTTTTCAGAGTTCTCGGATTTTTAGTCATCGATTATGGAGCGTAAGAATTTCACAATGTTATTACTGACAATATGGAACACTGAAAATCAATATCATTATTACATAGAGTAAAACAAAGTCGCTTTCTCTCGCTCGCTTTCAAACTGTTCCAGTCCCTCGATGTACGCGGTATAAATGACGAAGCAAAACGCTTAGTCCGGGCCGCAGGTGTCTCAACAACGTAAGGGTGGAAATTTGCCGTACGCCGGGATGTCCGAAGGTGAAATGGGGATGGCGGAATCAAATCGTGCAATTCCTGCGCACATTCTCCAAAATGCATCCTGTAGAACACCGCAAGGCTGGCTACTCTGCGCCTGTGCTCGAGACTTTGAAGATTGGACCCAACCAAATCCAGATCACCAATCAGCCTCTTTGCACGCCTTTCCACCGAATCCAAAGCCGCTAGGTGGCCGCATTTTCCTGCATTTTCCCTATGTATGCTTAAATCGTTAAAACTACGCAACGGATTGAAGAGGAAGGTTTATATGTAAAGGAATTTAGTATCAGCTTTGCACCTGTACGAAGCCGGAGCGCGTCGCAAGATCTATACTAATATTATAAAGAGATAAAATTTGTAGGTTTGTATGTAAGGGATAATCTTGGGAACCGCTAGTCGGATTTCCAAAATTCTTTCACTGATAGGTAGCTACAATGTTCCTGAGTGCTATAGTGCTATAAAACATTACGCTACGACTAAATGGAGCCGAGCAGCGGGTGAAACCGCGCGAGAGTAGCTAGTAGGACATAAAGTTACTAAATACATTTCCGTATTTTAGAACCGTTAACAGAATACTAAAAGGGCCTTTCCCCAGTTGACAGGTGCCTTCCCTTATATTTGTGAGAGGAAAATCATCAAATGACTTCTCCTGCCCAGGGTAGGAAAAGAGTGTCAGATTCTCACTGACTAAAAACTTCCCTGTTCCTTCTCCTGCTCTAGGCCGCGGCTGCGGTGCCTGCAGGTAGGATTGAGCCTCCGGTAAACTCACTATCACAGCGAAACACAATGTTAGCCTCTTGTGGTTTATAAGGGATTTGAGAATAGAGAATGAGGGGGGGGGGGGGTAAGATTGGGCCTCCGGTAACCTCACTTTCACGGCAAAACAAAACGTTAGAGTTCCTTTACGCCGGTTTTCTGTGTAGCCGTGGTATCACTACGGTCGAGCCGACCCATTCGTGCCGAAGCTTGGCTCTCCCACACTTAACTGACGACAGACAGGCAACTGAGTGAGCGAGATGCAGTTATATTATTATATTTATAACGTCGCCAAACCAGCAGAGTAGTGTATACCGAAACCACGTAGGGATCACGCTTCCATCATGGCGACACGTAGCGAAATCGACCCTAAGAGCGTTTGGCTTCTTTACCATACATTCCTACTAATATTACAAATGTGAAAGTTTGTGAGAATTTATGGTTGTAAGTTTGTTACTCTCTCACGCGAAAACAGCTGTATCGATTTGGTTGAAATTTAGTTCGATTAAAAAGATAAAAAAAAAAAGACGTTGCCCCACTTTAGGATTTTCTCCTGTGTTGTGAGTGCATTTACAAACATACAATGTCACATACACATGACACCCAGACCCGGAACAACAATTTATGGATCTCACAAAGTGTTGTTCCGTGCGGGAATCGAACCCGCGACACGTTGCACGTCAGCCAGTTGCCCAGCCACCGCACCAACCGTGCAGTCAACATTAACACATAGGGTTTTATCAATGTACCACGCTGGCGAAGCCACGAGCGCAATATAGTAACACAATATTAAAATATTGACTGTCTCAATATACATATTGCTGCCAACGTCGCCATGCTGTCTTTGTGAAACACACAGCTTTTATAAACACATGAGCTGGATCATTATTAGGTATAACTAAACATGACAATGAAAAAAACTGCTGAGCTGTATAGTGTTTGAATTGGAAGAAAACCCTGCTCTATACGAGGATTTTCAAGAGAAAAACATGGCACAATATTTTGTCAATTACGCATACAAATGATCCATCCATGCGCGAATTGTACAAGCAATAACAGTTTTGAGCAGCAGTCACTTGATCAAAAAAGAAAGAGACTTTTCTTTTTTTTGTGATTTACAAAGGTTATTTTGTAAGCATAGAATGAGGAAACGACTTCTTCCACCCTGGGTAAGGCAAAAGGGAGTGTCATATGATACTCCAATCAACAAAAAACCACCCCATGTCAACTCTTGCTAAGGCCATGGGCTATTGCTATCCTGGTTTGCAACCTTGACAGTCATTAATTTTTATTTTATTAAAAAAAAAAATGTTGCCCCACATTAGGATTTTCTCCTGTGTCGTGGGTGCGGTTACAAACATAGAATTTCACATACACATGACACCCAGACCCGGAACAACAATTTGTAGATCTCACAAAGAGTTGTTCCTTGCAGGAATCGAAACCGCAACATGTTGCACGGAAGACAGTTGCCCAGCCACCGCACCAAACATGCAGTCAAAAATTTGGACAGGATTAATAGAGAAAATAATAAAAAACTGCAGTCTATGGTCTATCCGTTTAGGTGGTTAACTAAAGGTAAACAATATTGGTATGTCTTTTTTTTACATTAGAGAGGTCATATAAAAAAAATACATACAAAGATTATTTAAATTTACTTTATTAGCTAACATTGATTTGGGTAAAAACCTGATTGTAAACATTTTTATTTAAACAGACCACTTAGCTAAACCTATAGACCATAGCTAATAATCTATGGTTCATCCTGGAGAATGGCGTTTAACCTGGGTAAGAAAAAGATATATGGTATGATGATTTTTACCCCTCCCAATATATTGAACTGTTGAAACAGTTGTATCTGGATATATTGATTGATTGATTGATTATTTATTCATTAACAATCTACATTGTGTTGAACATTACATATTAAAAATAGAAAATAACACATGCAGAAACAACTACATTAAGCAAATTAATACAATGTCAGCAAAATAACACAAGACACAAATAAATACAATATCTGGTTCATAGCAGGTACAGTGTCTGATAAAATGTTTAATTTATTATTATCAGATAAAATTTCAAGTATAATGTCAAGTATAACACAAGTATAATGTCAAATTCAATGTAAAAAACTAAATAAAGAATAAGATTTAATTTCGCTGTGGTTTTAGTAATGAGAGACCCTAATATAATTTTATAATTTAGGATCATTAAAATTTGTTCTCTGCTATTACTTTAAAAGACTACTTTTATCATTCATAAAATTCTGATACAGAGTAAAAACATTTTTCCAACAAGAAGGCTTTTAATTTAATTTTAAAAGAGTGCCAGCTATAAATTGATAATTTTATATCTTGTTAAAAGGCCATAGAATGACACAGACTACACTTTTTCTACTGACAAAACCATTTTCATTATTGATGAGTGAAGATAGAAATATAAATAAATTTCAATCACTCTAAGAACAAAATCCTTACTATATTTAGTAAACTTGTGTCACAATAGTGTTTATGCTAAATTTGATGAAAATTTTTATAAGAATGTTTCCTTTGTCCTGAATATCTTCTACAGGTCTGTATGCAATTTTAAAATGTAAATAACGATGATTAACGAGATTAAGATCGAGAATAATTATTATTTGAAGATCAATATGGCATTCAGAAAAAGCTATCCAAATTTTTCAGCAACTTCAAACAAAAGGACAATTCGATCACAAAGTAACGACCTCCCTAGTATTATAAACAGAATCTTATTAACATCCCAAAATCAAATTCAGAATACAAAATTATTCGTCAGTAATCAAAACAACGATAAAAAATAATGTTTAATGCAAGTTTGATAATAAATAATATGAATTGACAACAACTTACTATCTTGGACGCATCCGCTGTCGTTTAAGTCCTGTTTTGACCCATTTTCAGGATTTGGAACTTCCATTTCCATTATCAAAACTGGTTCGTAAAAATAATCACAGAAGAACAGAGCAACACTTCACATTGATAAAAATTAAAATGGATGTAATGCAAACTCCATGAGACAAAGGAAAACGAAAAAGTCACAAATAAACGACGACTTCAACCGCTGTATACACACAAACAGACACGATTTTAATATTTTGGATCAATTCCAAAAAATATTATTTGGACTAATCACAAAATAATCACAATCGTAAAACTTGGGCAGGAAGAAAACAACTAGAGCTGAACTGTCAGTTTGAACCGAATTTGGTTTATTGATTTAGGCTTTTAGTCGATTCGTTCTACATGCAAAACTAATTCGATTGTTAATTTTCCACTGAAACTATTACAGTTCTAAAAAGGTAATTTCATTTGATATGAATTATTACAACGTCCTTCCGTATATTTATTACATACTCATTATTAAACTGTTGGTTTATAGCCCTAAGATTAAATCGTATAAACAAAAAAAAACCGATAAAACCGTAAAACATAATACAGTTTTTTCTGACGCTGAGCCCTATGTTAATGTGTTGCCAACTATATTTTTACCATACAAACAGAGGCACGTTGTACGATTCGATGTAAATTTTAAATTTATTTCTATCATATAAGTTTATACTTATTAACCAAGCTAAACTCATATTATTGATAAACTGGTAATAGATTGATTTTATTATAACCACCGCGTTTAACAAAAAAACTTTAATAATTAATTTTATGTGGCAATACCTACGAATAAACAGACACCATTGTCACCATTCTATTTTGACACTCGTGACATTTCATCCTTTCATGTGCTTGCCGTCAAAAAGCACATCGCGCAAAAATATTTTTGTTTATTAAATACCATGGCGAAATCTCTAAGGAGCCGTTGGAAGCGAAAATGCAGAGCTATAAAGCGCGAACGTTATGCTGTAAAAGAATTAGCGCGACTTAAGAAGATGTTAGGCGTAAAAGATGAAGAGAAACCTGAAACTACCACGGATGAGGTTATGGAATCGGATCAAGTTATTTTTCTTGACGCTGGAGCTTTAAAGAAAAACGCAGAGAAAAAGAATAAGAAGAAAAAGGAAAAAGAAGTCGCTGAAGAGGCTGATGAGGATGTAGAAATGAGTTCGGACGACGAAAATGTTGTTGTCGATGGTGACGGTAAAAAAAGGGTTTTCAGTACGAAAACACTGAAGGACCAGAATGGACAGTACCCAGTATGGCTTCACAAGAGAAAGATCGCGAAATTAAACAAAACCGGCAAGAAAAATACGAAGAAACGATCCAAAAACAAGAAAAGAAAACGATTATAATAAATATTATGTATGTAAGCAAAGTTGTTTTATTATTACACAATATTTAGTAAACTAGCTATTTCTCGCGCGGTTTCACCCGCTGCTTGCCTCAGTTTGATCGGAGCGTGATGTTTTGTGACATATTATAGCACTTGCACACATTATAGCTATCTATTAGTGAAAGAATTTTGGAAAGCCGACCAACAGTTTCAAATCATTCAACCCTCTACAACTTACAAATTTTACCTCTTTATAATAATATATTGAGTATCAATATTCATTAGCATTTAAATAAATATAAGTTGTATCATGGAAGGCTAAAAATCAGTTTAAAACTGAGGAAAACAGGCTTTCATCATTTAAAAAAATTACATTAAAATGTAGTGTCATGAAACTACATAAAAGTAATATTTAGTAAAGCTAAGAGCTTAGTATTTATAGCCCTGCAAATTAACCATGTATACAACATTTCCATTCTATCCATTGAAGATATCTGCTTCAAACGAGATTGGGCTAACTACTATGGGACTTGGTTGCACTCTTTTTTGTCACATTATAGCAGTGAAAATTATACACAGGTTAGGGTTATGGACATATAATAAAGCAAAGTTAAAAAAAAGTGGTATTTTGTGGTGTTTTTCCAAGAAACCTTTACCTACTCAGGATGTTATTATTACTCAGGTTTTAAAATAATATGCTTTTAAAACTATATGTATTACTATATTAGTAGTGGTATATTCACGGGACAACAGGGTCCTGGACCTTTTGGAAGGTATACAAGGGGCCAAAGCCAACTCGCAGAGGCACTTTGAACAACTTTTATTTGCCAAATGGGACATCAGCATGCAATTATTTCTTTATGCACTTTGCAAGTGCACCAAATGACAATCCCCAGTTGATGCAGGACTATTGTACAATACGGTAGAAAATTATATGGTTATGGGTGTGGGTGGCTATGGACTGGTAGATATAGTAGCTATGGAAATACTGAGTATGCATTTCCTATTAACACACCATGGAGGACAACATGTAGGTCAGGCTAGCAAAGGATTTGTCATCAGCAGTAATCTGTTGGCAATCAATAACTGAAAATAATAACATTATTATATATTTGTTTAAGTGACCATATGTTTCAAGAAGTGAAACCATGAATACACAATCTCCTTTAGCTATTGACTTACATTAGCAAAGTTAACTAGAAGTGTCATCATCTGGAGTATTTTCTAACTGATACATACAACATTCAAGACATTAGCATGTACTTTGCAGCTCACACATCATCATCATCATCAGCCTAAAGTGCTCACTGCTGAGCAAAGGCCTCTTCTCATACGGAGGTTAGACCATTAATCACCACGCTCTTGCTCAATGCCGGTTGGCGATTTCAAACTTATAGTTAGAAATTATAAGTCGATGTTTACCTTCACCGTATGTCAGTGGTGTCTAAACAATCATAGAAAGTACATATAACTCGGAAAAAGTCACATTGGTACTTGCCTGGTTTCGAATGCACACCCTCATGCATGAGAAGCGGGCTTACATTATCTGCGGTATTTTCTAACTAATACAACATTCAAGAAAAAACAGTATTCTTCGTAGGTGTGGTGTTGCAGGAGTCTTTAAAGTCCACTGATTGCTTACCATCAGGTAATCTGTAGTCTATATTTTCTTCTTTACTATGGAAACAAGATAAGAAATCAACTATTAAATGTTAGGAAAAATATTTAGTTTTAATTCCGCGACAAAAATCCAGGCTTGATGGTGTCCGTTACCCAGGCCAGATGTTGTCGACAATGGTCATTTGAATCTTATAGATAATTAGTTGTGCGGCTTCTGTAATTGTTGCGCACATTTTTGAATTTGTTGCGCTTATAGTTTTTTAATTATTTCACAAAAACATTTCCTGCTGGCGTAACGTTACCACAGCCAGACCTTTTTATTTCTAATGGGAATATTTAAATAAATATTAGCTATAAAATTAGTTGTATAAATAAAGTAAATGTTGTGCCTTATTTTGTATTTGTTCTTTCTTCGGTTGCGAAGTTATTCGAGATTTTGCTGCGGTAACGTTTTTGGTTTTGCTAGATCTTTGAAATGGTTAAGCGGATTCTTATCATATTTTGTACACGACTTCCGAGGACTTAGTTTAAATTTGTTGTGCAATAACAAAACCAAAATAATGCATATTTTAAAGGTTTTTTCAATAAATAGAACAACACTTCAATTGGCCCCAGCACTCTTAATAAGAAGTCTAAAGACTTACTTTAAACGTAATTTTAAAGCTTGTAACTGCCTTCAAATGTATGTGAAGTTTCATTAGTATCCCGTAAGTATTTAACAAGTTATGATGATATTCAGTTCTTCACGAGCACGGTCTTAATGCACGCGGTGTTATTTGGCCACTGGATTGGATATATGAACTGAATGTTATGTCAATAATTAGTTGTTTAGATCAGTTGTATATCAGTAAAATTTCAGCTCAATACATTGGATAATTAATGAGATAATACTATGAAAGTCATTAGGAAGTGAATGACCGTGGTAAGCCGACCAAGTTTAGGTGGTTACGAAAAAGCGAAAACGCAGAACATTATGGTACCTTCTAAAATATGTAGGATAGTGTTATAAATTTAGTACAGACATGTACAAAAGTTTAAAAAAAAACTACAAGATTTTTTATTGAAAGGTAAAATAATCATTTCAATTGAACTTTTACTCCCTTACTTATAAAAAAATTGTGTTGCTTAGCAACCGATTAAACATCACCCGTCCTTGTCATTTCTATTTCAAAATGCAGTTCAAAAATCATCTAAAAGGTTACAAAAGTAACCTTCTGGCAAGACTGAGTGCGTTATGCAAACAATGTATTACCCCTTCACCCCACTCCTCCTGCGTCCTACCGAACGGCATGCTCTAGCGGTGATTTTTGATAATTTTGTGGAACTGGAAGATAATGTTTTCTTTTATATTATTATTATATAGGTATTAAACAGTGTACGCGTCTGTACCAAAATTGTAAGGTGTATTATACTAAACATTTCAAAAGATAGTACAATGTTCTGCGTTTTCGCTTTTTCGTAACCACCTAAACTTGGTCGGCTTACCACGGTCATTCACTTCCTAATGACTTTCATAGTATTATCTCATTAATTATCCAATGTATTGAGCTGAAATTTTACTGATATACAACTGATCTAAACAACTAATTATTGACATAACATTCAGTTCATATATCCAATCCATTGGCCAAATAACACCGCGTGCATTAAGACCGTGCTCGTGAAGAACTGAATATCATCATAACTTGTTAAATACTTACGGGATACTAATGAAACTTCACATACATTTGAAGGCAGTTACAAGCTTTAAAATTACGTTTAAAGTAAGTCTTTAGACTTCTTATTAAGAGTGCTGGGGCCAATTGAAGTGTTGTTCTATTTATTGAAAAAACCTTTAAAATATGCATTATTTTGGTTTTGTTATTGCACAACAAATTTAAACTAAGTCCTCGGAAGTCGTGTACAAAATATGATAAGAATCCGCTTAACCATTTCAAAGATCTAGCAAAACCAAAAACGTTACCGCAGCAAAATCTCGAATAACTTCGCAACCGAAGAAAGAACAAATACAAAATAAGGCACAACATTTACTTTATCTAGACAACTAATTTTATAGCTAATATTTATTTAAATATTCCCATTAGAAATAAAAAGGTCTGGCTGTGGTAACGTTACCTCAGCAGGAAATGTTTTTGTCAAATAATTAAAAAACTATAAGCGCAACAAATTTAAAAATGTGCGCAACAATTACAGAAGCCGCACAACTAATTATCTATAAGATTCAAATGACCATTGTCGACAACATCTGGCCTGGGTAACGGACACGGCTTGATGCAGGATGCAATCCCACTCCTATGCAATCATGCATATGCACATGCAGCAAAGATAACATGCATATGCACACATACAAAAAACGGATAGCTACTATAGGTTTGATCGCGTGACATGTTTTTCCGATATTTTTCCTAACATTTAAAGTCATGGATTACCGCGCAAAGTAACGCCTGATTCTATAAATTATAGAAATCAACTAGGTAATTCCTCCTTGGTTCAGAACTTAGAGCCTGCATGGTTGGTGCTATGCACCATGTCATATATTTTTATTTTATTAATTTGGAACAGAAAACAATTAGGTAGGTACATGTTCATAAATAACCATGTGAGGGTATCACTACATATGTAGTATAAAATAACGTCACACGTTAAATCTTTAAAACTGCAACAGATTTGGATGCAGTTTTAATAGATAAAGTGATTGAAGAGAAAAGTTTATATTATTGTATAATAATAATAACATCCATTAAGTAGGTAGGTATGGTAGTGGAGAAATTTTACATCAGGATTGCACCTTGTTGCTTATGAAGGTCAACTTTTGCACTTACATATCTAAAAATGATCTTACAACATAATACCTTGACAGGCTTGACGCCTTGGTCTGCATGCGACCACACCACGACCTGTGCAACCAGGTCGAAACGTCAAGCCTACCAAGGTAGGTATTAAAACTCAACAATTATTTTTCGCGTTAAATTACCCGCGTAATTATAAATTGTAGACACGAAACGCGAAAGTTTAGAAATTAGTAAAAAATATCTTTATCCTAAATGCTAAAAGTTTTAACGTAAAAAAAGTATTACGTAGTTGGCTACTGATATTCAACTAGCCAGAAATTGCATTGTGTATTATAGAATAACTTCGAAAGGTTTTTTTGAGGAGGGAAAATCAACAAATAACTTTTCTCGCCTAGGGTACAGCGAGAGAGAGGGTTTGACTCTTACTGGTTTAAAACCTTTCCTTCCTTCTCCACCTCCATCCACGACAAAGGAGAAAATCCTAGTGGGGCAACGTGTTTTTTAACAAAAAGGTCCTACTAAATGTTGAAATTTTTACAAGGATCGGACTGCAAACGAGCATACGAATTACCTGATGGTAAGCAATCGGCGCCGCTTATAGACACCCGCAACACCATAGCCGTTACGAATGCGTTGC